CAATTCAGAATGAAGCATGAAAATTACTATTTCACTGTCAGGTTTTTACAGGGCTGGATTCTTTACAGTAGGTGTCTGTGACTTGTTGGCGATAAATTTCAACAATAAACGGTCAGCACACATTCCACTTGTTTTAAAATAACATATTCAAAACAACTCAAACATATGTAAAAACTTTGTTACATTACTGATTATCACAGTTGTATCCAGAGATTTAAGTAATTGTCTCTTTTTTGTCAAAGTCCACACAGATGGGTTCAATTACTTTAGAAGACCCGTTGATAAGTCAAATTATTCTACTCTATCTCTGTTACGACAAGAAAAGCTGTAAAAAACTTAAGAAAACACCTGTTACACGCAGTCTAAATTCACTTTTACTTTCTCTTTCAATAAATTAACTTACTTGCTTATATATATATATTGCTTGACTGAGGCCTAGAACTTTCTACAAATTACAAGACGTTATGATGTAAAAATACTCAAAGCAATGAGAAAAATTCTGAGTAACATGACGTCAATTCACAACAATTGAACTAAACAACAAATGATTCATGAACAGTTATGTAAGCAAACCTGCAATAAATTATTGCTTCCAAAATTTAACACTCGCACGATAACTATCTGTATCATAACTCTCATATTACATTTAGCTGAAACAGTCGTGCATATCAAACATTCGCCAAATTAATAACAATAAATAAGGTAGTGCATTTTACTCTCTATACTACAATGATAAAAAAAACAAAAAAACTTTGTAATTATTATCTTACAATTAGCACTTTACTGTTTGTGAAATAAACAAAGTAAAAATATGGATATCTACATGTACTATCGACTGGACAAATATTCATTCTGATCAGATGAGATAATGCACTAACAGATCAAATCCCATGTGATTATTAATTTTGCAATGACTCGGGTAATCAGAGAGTATTTCCATCAACACATTATCTCACAGTATAATGCAACCACGATACTAATTGCATGCATAACACACATAATAGGTATTGCATCATCTATCCCACTGATGTTTTCTGTTAATTTATAAACATAACAGCATTTTCTCTGGTGTTAAAAAGTAGGAGCCTGGGTGGTCATGATACAGAATTGTTAGGTACTTAAAATAATCATCATGCCCATCCTTTGTGTTGCCACTATAAGCAACGAGTGGTCACTGCAGTGGCAGGGACAGTAAGTACAATCTAAACAACAGCCTCAGTGAAAGATCAGAGGGTGTAATGCATTGCCACGTGCCTCATTACCTTAAATGTCCTGCAACAGGCACTCACTCCTATAAAGCAGTGGTTCTCAAAGTGTGGTCCACAAACCAACAGAGGGTTCTCCAGGTGGTCCATGGACTGGTCGAAAATGCATGTCACATCAAAAGCAGCACCATCCTTCCCATTAACTCTGATGAGTTTTTTTGAGGTGGCAAACAAATAGGGTGGGGTAGGACAAAGAGGTCCATAAATGAAAACATTTTGGAACCACCGATACAAAACGGTACATTCCCATGTACAATCTTATTAAAATTAACAAAAAAAGACAAACTAACTGGTTTAATAGTATGCTGCAATGAAGTGGTAGAACATGCCTGTAGTGCTTTTCAAATGCATATGACTATCTGATCCAAACATATCTGAATAGAACTACTATTTGTCCCATCCCTAGCAAGTAGTGTAATTACCTTTCTAACCTGACAAGAGAATACAATTTGTTGCCTAGCTATTAAATAAAAGCAGAGCTATATATCTGATAAATAAATATACACTGTAATTGTTACATGACAATAACATCATCTTGTGTTACAATAACACACATATAAATCCAAAAGTTACTTCTGATAATAGTCGTGTACAGTTTTAATTATACAAGTGTGTAGTTTCGTGTAGATTAAATAATGCAAAATTCTGCTTTTCTAGTTATGTTCATATTCCAATTATATACAGTTTGTCTAGAGATCACAAGATTCTAACGATCAACAAGAGTATTCAGTCACCTTGTAATTCTGGTCCCACAGTAGTAATCAAAGCAGACAGACTCTTTCCTATACACTGCAATACGTCTACATTGGAAGGAGGGATATTCAGTAGTAATTTTAAAGCTAGAGAGAGGGTAGGCTCCACATATCCACGGAACATTGGTCCCCCAGAATCTGCTATGAGGGCTATAGCATGAAGAGCCCATACCTAACAGGAAAACATTTTAACAGTTGAAACAAAATATTTAACAGTTTAATACAAAATCCACTATAATTTACAAATTATAAAACATTTTCAGTAACAGGATATAGCATATATCTTAAGATTAAGAAAAAATTAAACATTTATTTTTTTAAAAAAGTCATCCTAATCTGCCTCCATTTGATCACCTATTCCTTTCATTAATGTTTTTAATTTATTTGATACGCAGTTAAAGACTTATTGTTTACTTTGTACTAGAACACAGAAGATATTGGATAATAGTTACCTAAGAACTACGTTATAACTCTTCAAACTATTTTAAAGTTGGGACAGGGAATTATACGTTAACAAAAAAAGTGCAAATGAAAAAGTTAACAAGAAATATATTAGCATAGAAGCTTATGAGCAGATGTTTCAAAAAGCTGACGACAAATAGTACGTGGAAACTATAAACATTAGTCTAGAAACCAAACCACACAAAAGAACTAATTAAAATCTTTCAAGAAAAAGAAATAAACAGGACACACATAATCAATAAAAAGTGCAAAAATGGACAGTTGTCTTCACAAAGAAACAAGTTTTAAGAAAGCAAACGATAACAATAAAGAAACCAATCAGAACACTAACACAAAGTAACGGAAACAATGAAATTCATTTTTAATGTTTACGCAAAATATATGGGCCACAACTTCACAAAGACGACATAATCCTTACCTGAACAACAGGAGCATTGGTATCATTGGCTAATGCCAACAAAATACTAACACTAGTGTTAAGATGTTGGCCTGATCCCATTCCCCCAACGTATCGGTGTAAACATCCTAGTGTTAGAGAGTGGCCTGTACGTGATACAGCATCTCTGGCCGTTTTTAATCTAAAAGAACAAACAAAATATAAACACTTAAAAAATAATTAAATTCTATCAATAATTAACATTTAAATCATATGAGACTTTACAACAAAGTTTATGTAATTACCAAATCGCATTACACATACAATATAAGCGAAACAATTGTATATGTAACTTCCCATATTACGATTTACAGAAGGATGTACATTTGCATCTCAGTATGGATGCCTACTATAACAAATTTCAAAGTCCATTAAACTCTATAAATAGAATGACCATCTATTCACTGAAGTAGAATACTAAAAATGACATCGAGTGTAAGAAACTCATAATGTAGTCCCTAAAAAGGGTTAAATATACTTGTAGTAAAGAAATAAAAATTCCATATATAAGTAGTACAATTTTTTCAAAAAATTACTGCTTTTCTAATCTGCATCAAACTTGAAAAACCACTAAATAAAAGTGAACACAGCTGGATATTGAGTGCAAAGGACCTCTGGGTCAGCTGCGAGGAAACTGACTGAACTAGTACATGATACTGTAAAAGAATTGCCACTTGGTTTTAACCATTCGTAATATTTTGTAAAACTTTCCCCCCCAAATACCTTCGTAAAATTGTTTAAGAATATTTTATTAAAAAGATGTGAATCAAAATTATGTCCAGCTCTTCTTCAAACATTATTTTATTAGGTGGTTCACCTAATCTGACCACATTTAATAAAAAAGTTGCCACTGCCTGAATTCTCCCTTTTTTGCTGGTTTTTTATGTGTCGTAAATCTCTCTTTTACCAAACCCTTGCTATATAGAACATTATCACTGACAATTTTTCCAAATGAATTATAATGTTCTCTGAAACAGCCATTGGTAAACGAATAAGTCTAAAAACCAGATAATCAATGTGTGGATAACTAATACCATTCAATATTCTCACTACATTTTTCATAGATGCAAGGGTCAGTACTGTCTCTTTCAGTTTTGTTAGTGATACAGGATAGCACCATGATATAGTAATTCATGTATACATGTATATAAAAGTAATGACATTCCATACACTTTGACCTGAAGACAACAGACCGATGTTATGTAGTATTTTACCCAAACTAAAACCTTTTCATTAACCTGGTAAATTATTGTTCTTATTTTCTATAAAATCCAAAATATTTTGAGTTAAAATGTTTTAAAACGTGGTCTGGAAAGTGTTAAAAGAAATGATAAAGAGACTGAATAGTTTTTCAAGTTATACTTGTCAAAGCTGTGCTGAGCCATCTCTGCAACAAACCGGCCATCACCCACAACCTGTGCCATTCGTCCTAAAGCCTCTCCTGCGGCACAGCGTAGTATAGGATTTGGGTGACTCAAGGCTCCCTAGAGAGGAATAAAACTTCATGAAATAAAACACACATACATAAAAGTGTTGGAATAATTCTCACATTAAAGTAATTAATGGTTTTTAGCACTTTTATACTTTGACCAAACAGCCTTACTTAACTTTTATGTTTATAAGTGTACTAAACTTATTAAATTTATCTTCTTTTAGTTTTAAATACACAGATTACACCAAACAAATCACACAACTTTTTGTTGTTGTTGTCGATTGCTAAAACTTTTTTCATGAGATGTTTTAAGTAAGAAAGTTAACCAGTTTCTAACTTACCAGCACTAAACTAGCAGCAGCTTGCCTCACGTCATCAGGTCCTAGTGGAGTTTTTGTCTCTGCAAGCATCTACCAAAATACAGACAAAGAAAAGTTTGTTTTACACATCAAATCATGAAATATAATTTCATGATTCTCAGAAAAAAAATGCATTTTTAAAAATGATAAATATAAATGTTTCAACAATCATCAATATGAGATGACAAAATGAAAACAATATTATGACTATATCTGTCAAGCAGATATTTCTATACGTCTAGTTTAAAACATTAGTCAATACTCACTGGGAAGCATTTCCTAGTTTTAATAAATCATGTAAGAAAGGCATTTTACTAGGAGAGTTGATAGTAAATCATGTGAGAAAGGCATTTTACTATGAAAGTTGATAGCAAATCATGTAAGAAAGGCATTTTACTAGGAGAGTTGATAGTAAATCATGTAAGAAAGGCATTTGACTAGGAGAGTTGATAGTAAATCATGTAAGAAAGGTATTTTACTGGGAGCGTTGATAGTAAATCATGTAAGAAAGGCATTTTACTAGGAGAGTTGATAGTAAATCACGTAAGAAAGGCATTTTACTGGGAGAGTTGATAGCAAATCATGTAAGAAAGGCATTTTACTGGGAGAGTTGCAAGGTAGGCAGAATTAATCAATGGCAAATTTTATATTACTGACGATGTTTGAGTATTGCAAAAATACATAAATATATATATATATAAATTGTGCAAATCCTTAAGATTATCTTTGGATACTACTAACCCAGCCATTAAAAACTGTACAGCAAAATGTTATTTTCTAATAAAATAGAACAAATATATTTCAGTTTATTAATAAATGCACAGTTTAACAACTAAAAACTGTGTTAAACAATACTTACTACTTTTAATCACTGATTTACAGCTTGATCTCCTTACATTTCATTTTAAAAAAACACTCAAGCCTTGCTTTTCGGCACATCAAATACATCAAACACTCACCTTTAGAGCACTTAGAACAGCTGTGAAAATGTTAATTTGAACAGCTTCCTGTCTTGAGGCCTTAGTGTGCCTAATACATTGTGAGAAGTGACCTAACATCTGCAGTCTGTGCTTAACAGCTACATAAGGAAATGTCTGGCCAAACAGGATGACAGACATGTCAATAACAGCAACTCCTAATGGTAAAGGACCTGGAATTGACTCCCCCTAAAACAGAATACAAAATCTTTATGATACATTTATAAAGAAGTGGGAAAATAAAGTAGACCAAAAGATAATTACTAATAATTATCAAATGTCACTGAAAGTTTTTCTAGAAATAAACGGATATCTTTGTTTTTTTACCAATGTGTAGCAGTAAATGGTGAGTAAAGTGCAGTAGTCTAAGAAATACAGTAAAAAACCCATAGCGTGTGAAGAAATATATTTTTGAATCTTTTAAAATTCTATTAGGCTAAGAATATGAAAGTACAACACAAAAAAAACACACTTGAAATATAAATTAATATGCTAGAAATAATAATCGTTAACAGTTTAAAATGACATAAAGAGGTCAATTCTGTCTATCTCAAATGATATAAAGACATGTCAATTCTGTCTATCTCAAGTGATATAAAGACATGTCAATTCTGTCTATCTCAAATGATATAAAGACATGTCAATTCTGTCTATCTCAAATGATATAAAGACATGTCAATTCTGTATATCTCAAATGATATAGACTTGTCAATTCATTCTCAAATGACAGTCATGTCAATTCTGTCTATCTCAAATGACAATGACGTCAATTCTGTCTTTCTTAAATGATATAAAGACATGTCAATTCTGTCTATCTCAAATGACAAAGACATGTCAATTCTTTCTATCTCAAATGGTATAAAGACATGTCTATTCTGTCTATCTCAAATGATATAAAGTCATGTCAATTCTATCTCAACCAATCATCACCTAAACTTCTTATACTTTTTTTCATCCAAATTTAGTAATACTCATTTCAAAAAAACATATCCAACTTATGGAATAACTGTATTATGAAACTTTTCTTTCTTGCATAAGGTAAGTTCCACGATCAGTAAAAGTTTAAGAAATTACTGATTTATTTTTGGAACTCACAATTAAAGACTAAAATAAATTTCAAAATTATCATCAATCACACAACTATCCTGAAGCATATTTCTCAGTATTTATCAATATTTCATTTACTATTTTAATTTAGGTTCTACATAACATCCTATGTCCAAAATGTTCTACCAAACTTTCAGGGCATATTCCTATTGATGATTAACAAATACACAATAGCCTAAGTAGTTTTGTTACAGGTTGAATCTATATTGATAAACTAACCATTTAAATTAAAAATAAATAAATAAAAGATTTCCAGAGTAATGAAAATACAAATAACAACAGTATCCAAGTAACATCTTATTGTATTTTCTTTAACCTTCTCTGCCCGGGCATCATTTACTGCATGTCACGAGGTTTTAGTGACTCAAATTCAAAATTTATTAAACTATTTTTTCTTAATGTTATACCAATTAGCATAGCATCTTAGCTAATAATCCATATTTTAATAGTATATAAGTTTTAAGTCCATAATTTTATAAGGCAATACTTAAAAAATCCTGAATTCCCTTAGTGTAAGAAATGTGACATTTTCTCTAGGCATCCCCTCTTCTCTAATTTATTCACCACCCCTCCAATAAGTGAGAAATTTACCATAAATTTCTCATTGTAAAATCATCATTGCTCAGACAAACCATAATTTTTATAGCCTTCAATTTTGTTCGGTTACAGAGCTATCAAATAGGAAATCAGACCCTTCTTGCCACATCCTCTCTTTCAGGATTTGTTAATAGTTCTCTCTTACATATTACGTTGTTTTCTGAATGGAGAACTGTCGATTTCTCTGTTAGTACATGCTTCGTTTCCATGGTAAAGACAATGACTAGCTTGGATAGAACTTGTAATGGCTCTTGTCGCATAGTTAGAAAGCCAGAAAAATTGTAATATTTAGGGAAAATTGATCTTTGCATGTTATTATTCTATGTTCTTTGGTGCATTATTTAATTAAATAAAAATGATTTAGTGCATTACTAACGTTAGTATAAAAAAGTAGGGTTAAGTGCCATCGACAGTTGACAAAAAAAAAGAAAAAAATTTACGTACTTTATTTTTGTTTTTCACGTTTATTCTTTATTTATTATAATAAAAGTAACTAAAATGTAAAAATATGGATATCTTTAGGTTAGTTAAGGTTACATTAAGTAAAATAAATAATAATAATACAATAAAAATGTTTCATAAGGCATGCACACGAACAGCTAGCTGGTAATGTAATTTGATAGCATAATGTGAGCTCCATGTTCCCCAAGTGATTTACAACTTATAATGGCATGAATAGTTGTTAGACACGTTCAAAGGGCAGTAAGACAAAAAAAATTTAAATATACATAGATGTATACTGTTACAAGTTTAAAGCTTCTTAGGATAAACAAATGTAGTTTCACATTACAATTTGAAGTCATTCTAGAAAGAAAAAAAGAGTAATTTAGATTTATTTTTCTCGGTTACAAGGTTGGTCAATTTGACCAACCTTGTATAGAGTTATTTAGGAGGTTTTAGAGATTACAAAACTGAAATTTGAGATTTTTGAAATGAAGAAATGCTTGATATGTTCACGGACAAATCTTTTTTTTTTAGTTTATTAAAAATATTTCACTAAAAAATTTGATTTCTTGTATGTGAAAAACTTATAATGTTAACTGAAAGTGTGCCAAATTTTGTTAAGATATATGTACTATATTAGAAGTTAGTAGTATAAAAACTATAAAGAATTTATACAAGTACAAAGATGTCATGTGGTCATTCAACTCAACCGAGCCTGTGTTGAGAGAGTTATTCAGAGGTTTTGGGTAATTAAATTTACATATTTTGTCATAAAACTGTGAATATACTGTTTTGCAAGATGGACTAAATTAAAAAATACGTTTTAATGGGATATTCACTACTAACTGTTACTTTCAATATAAGGAAAATCATAATTTTTGAGCCTAAATCTCTAAATTGTTTGTTTGCTGTTAGGCATAAAACTACCATGGGCTATATGTGCTGTATCCACCACCTGACTTTTAGTGTTATAAGCCCTCAGACTTACGATGAGCCACTGGAGAGCAAACCTTTAAATACAACACTTCCAAATATCTAATTTATACATTGATTACTAGTAGTTTTAAAATATAATTTGCATGTTGGGCTTTTAACAATCTATCTTTTTTTACAAACTCTGTAAATTAGTTGGGAGATCACTTATACTATGAATATAACCACCTTTGGCAGTGACTTATACAGAGCTGTCAAATCGTGTTCCAATGCACCTGATCCCGATGCACTATTTGGTTGAAGCTAAAAATAAATAAAAAATTATTAGAATATAAATATTCTTGTTTGCACATAAATATATTTAAACAAAAATTAATGTTGTTATAAATAATTTTTGGAATATGATTAGCAACAAAGAAGAAATTTTTGTTAAACTTTTTGCAGATTTTGCACAAAACAAAAAGTTACTCCACATTTTTATAAATGCTCAAATAGTTCAAAACCAACAGCATTTAAACATCAGCCTATAAACTGCATAAACTCTACAGATCATTTGAACCACAAGTAATGCTATTACACAATACAAAGTTTAAATATCCTAAACCACTTTTCATGAAAAATAATTACAAAACTAATACACCCTTCAACAGGAATTTAAACTCTGACAATTAGAACATTACAAATTATGACAAGTAACCAAAACTGGAAAAGAATATAAAATGATTCTAGTATTATGTGGTACATCTAAAAAAAAACAAAATAAAATTTTAAAAAAGCATGCAAAAATCATAATCTCTAAAATAAACTTTTATTAGAGACATCACAAAATCAAGCACAAGTCAAAATCATTTGCTCGGTGCATGCAAGTGAAAAGGACAACTCATTGTGAAGCACATGCTAAAATGCTAAAGCAGGAATGTGCTTTATTACTTAAGCTGAATTGGAACATGAAAACTTAATAGTGTTAGGAGTGCTGAGAACGTTTCATTACTCACATTATCCCTATCCAATCTTCTGTTTGGCTCCATCTTCACACGTGTAAGCACAAACAGAAGCTTTTAATAGTTGGTGCAATAGAATCTTTCACAAAAATCTACATTTTTTTATATGTTTTTGTGATAAACTAAAACAAACCCAATGTAAAAGATAAAATGTCACTACAGGCTAGTCACTGTAAACATATACATAAGATTGGTTAGGTGTTATAAAAAGAATGCAAGTTATTAAAATATCTTTCAAAAACATTCAGTTTGTAGTATCTACTATTAAGCTGTAGAGAATCATCACACATTAAAATTGGTTGCTGTAATGTTCAGATACAATTAAATTTTTGATTGGACAAGACATATAAGCAAAATTTATACACACAGGTTATCTACCTCACATAAATTTGATATTTTTTATATATATGTTATTTCATTTAAAGTACTAAATGCATATAATTGCTCTTCATATTTCAGTATAGCACACAAAAAAATACACAATATGGAAAAGTAATATAATTTTTACATCTTCTATAAAACTATGCATTTTAAAAATAACTTTTACTGATGAAAGTTCAAAGTTCTGAATTTTCCATTGATTTTTTTTATTTGTGGAAATAATGGTTCAACTGATACATAAGTACACTTTTTCTGTTGTTTATACAAGTATATTATTATTAAGATACTATCCCATTCTTACTGTGAAAAATATTACTCTTAAATTATGGTTCTGCTACAATTAATAACCATGTACATATATTTAACCCTAATACACACACACACACACACACACATATATATATATATATATAGGGTTTCATTTTTAAGAATCTGTGAGACATCTTACAAAAGACCAAACTTGGCTCACTGTAATGGTGTAGGGCTATCTTACCATCAAGACAAGCCAATTGAAACCCCTTTATGCCTAACTTATATCAGAATTACATTTAGCACAGTCAAAATAAGGATTTGTAATTAGAGTAAATAATGTCTACAGTATCTCCAGCCTTGTTTCCTTGACTTTTTTTTACGATCCCTATTTGCCGGTTTTTAATTTCCCAATTTTTTATTTATCTTGTTTGCTGGATTTTTTGCACTCAAATATAGGCAAACGATTACTTGATATGGTAGCAAACATTATATATTGTAATGATAATAAACATAACTAGTCTCTAGCTGATACGGTTCATGATGATTTACTTTGGCTATTCACTATTTGATCACATTAGTTAGAGATGTAAAATATATGCCTAGACTAAATCACAACCCCTACTAAATGTGTATACAATTTTATACCAGTACAAAAGCAGCCTTTTCAAATAATACATATACGTCTAAAACATTGCTTTAAATAAATCTTTGTCTTTTAAAGTAATTATTCTACAAATGTGTGTAATAAAATTTAATATTATGCATACTGATTTTTTTTTACTCCTTTATTTCATACATAATATAGAGGTTGGCTCCCTTAAGACACCAATTGTATAGTGTACAAAGCATTGAGTATCTACATGTTACAGTCATCTAATGTTCATCTATCAGTGGCTAGTAATTCCTGTTTCACACTATACTTAAGTTTTTTTAAAAGAACACTAGATATTTGTAAGAAAGCTAACTTTAAGGGGTAATGATAACATCGTGTACACTAGAATTATGATGGTTTTTAAGCTTATGTAAAATATAGAAGAAACAAATTTACATTTCATTACCCCTATGACCTTTGAGGTACCTTATTTAGTATTCTGCAAAAGGTTTGGGAGCAATATACCAAGCTGTTTTTGTTGAAGGCTGGCAAAAGAATAATAATAATGATAATTATAAAAGGGTTGTTATGAGTAGATTTTCTTTTTCTTTGTAATTCTAACACGTGTGCTTTTTTTTACATTTTTACATGTGTACAACCTTAGTAGTCAATAGCAAAGGTCTTAAAGTGTTGTTTGAACTGAATATTTACTGTTTAAGGTGCTTTTTGCCTGAAAAATCTATTAGGATTTTATGCAATTCCTTGCGATCACTATTACGAACCACTATCATGATTCATGATTAATAAATCAAAGCTTAGATTATATAAAAGTTTGAATTATAAACTATGCTTTGAAGCCAAGTTTATTGACAAACACTGATAATAAAGTATTTAAATTAAATCTTGAATGTTACTCTTTAAAAAGATTATGACATGTACACTTCGACCTACCTGTATCCATAGGGTTAACTGTATACTTTAATATAGTATAAGCAAGTGCAGAACTAGGGGAGGATTCAAAGTGGTTTGGACCACATCCTTGTTTTTCTTCAGAAATTAATAGCTTTATTCTTTAATCAGACCCCCACATTTTTCAAAAACTTAATAGTTATATTATTTAATGTTGTATAAGTAAGTGCCGATCTATGAAGGTCCTAACCCCTCCATTTCTTTCAGATATTAATAAAAAACAGTCAGATATCCTTACAATACCATATAATATCCAAAATAACCATTAGATGTCAGTGTATTTAGTTGTTTGGGTTATTCTCTTAAGAAAGATGTTTTTCATATTGTTATTGTAAAAAATAAGTTTGTTGGCTGATTGTTTTTTAAGCACAAAGTTACACAATCACTATCAGGGTATTGAGATGCAGCTTTTAGTGTCGTAAGTTTGCAGGCTCATCGCTGAGCCAACGGGGGGGTCCAAAAATAAGTGAAAATGCAAGTGATATAACTGTATAAGTAACAGACACCTTTTATACCAATGTTATAATTTTGTTTATAAATATGATTAAAAATAATTAGTTGTCACATATCACAGTTACACCGAGAACACTTAATGCTACAACATAGTCATAAACATGCTTACACACATGAAAAACAATAATGAATTGTCTAGAAAAGCATACACAGTAGTGTTGCTACAGGTGACTGATAAGCAAATAAATCTTTTAAAAGTTGCCTTGAGTGTGTGACACATTTTCATGTATGAAGTTAAGGATTATAAAAGTAACTTGATTCTAAATTATTGTGTTTTGATACCAGTTTTTGAGACAAATTTTTAAAGTCAATTTTAACTATATTTCAACAACTTTAACTTAAAAATATTTTAAAATCGATATTTTTGTCATTTTTTGACATTTATTTAGCATAGTTCATGAAGAAAATGTTTTTTAATTTCAATTCTTACACAGTTGCAGAGTTTTGCCTGCAAACAAAACAACCCACTTGTTAAATTTGCTTAGATTTTTTTTTCCCATTCCAAAGAATAATTTTACTTTTGTTAAAAACCTATCGTTCCTTGAAAACATATCCATTTCAAGCATTTCCATTAGGTTTTGTACATGGCTTGGTTAAAACCTTGTTATGGTGCCACATCAAGTTGATTCAATCATTTAATAACGATACACAGTTTTGAAAACAGCTATGAATAAAGTTTAAATATGATTGGATAAAACAAGAATTAAACTATCACATAATAGTAAATATATAGGTTTAGAACGTTTTTTTAGTTTCTGTAAATGTTCCTTTTATTTTTGAACTGTAGAAGTATTTGTGTGTTAGATTAACGTGTTTGAAAGGTACAGAAGCTTTCTTCAATGAGAAGACATCAGATAACTTGAAATACGTTTGTACGGTTTAGACAAGTAAAATGGGTAAAAAAGAAAACTTTATTAAAATTTTAACACGGTAACAAATGTACAATGTTTGAAGAAAGTTTTGTCATTAATAGGTACAAGCAGTTTGCCTAGACATAGGAATACATGTACAGTATGAAGCAAAAGAGTCATACATCTGGAGATCACTTAAAGCTTAATAAAGGTGTTTTATTGATGTTTAATTCCTTGTTTAAATTGTTTTTCTTACCTTTTAATAGATATACGATGGTTTTAATGAGTTGAAATGTTTGTAAATACAAGTTGTGTTTTTTTAAAATCACCAAATAAAATAAAAATACTCATCAAATCAGATAAGTTTAATGTTTAGTGAGTATGGTAGGGGACTGCAAAATACTGTTATGACTCAAATTTTTACTAAATATTATTTTTATGTCTACCCAATTCAAATAATGTACATAAATAAATTGGCTAACCGGCTACTTAATCTTTTCTAACTGAAATCATGATGTGTTTTAAATAAAAACAATAATACCTTTACCTGTGATAGTCAAACCTGTTTATATTATTTAATTATCCATTTATTTGATTTACAGAAGATCAATGGTGGATTACTGCATGGTGTTATTTGGTCGATATTAGCAATTAATTCATCAAGTAGGAAGTGTCCAGAATAAAATTATATTTTTCACATATCTATCATATGAAAGCAAGTGTAATTCAAAAGTTACTTTAGAAACCAATAGGTGAATGAAAATAGTAAGATTAATACCATGTTAGAATTACAGTGGTTAAAAAATGTTATGAAGCTAGCATAGGGATTAATTTACTGGCATTCCCTCGGATACTCATTTTTTGTTTAACAGTCATTTCCAATTACTAATAATATGACGGAATTAGAATTTTGAACCTGAAGACACCTTACGTACACAGGGGATAAAACAGCCATATAAGAGACCATTCCCCTAGAATTCAGGTATAGCAGTCCTTAATTTTGAACTACTGACCAGATGGAAGACAGCAAGCCAGTCAGCAGCACCCACATAATGGAACTGACTTTCACTTTTATAACATGCTCACAGCTGAAAGTGCAAAGCATGTTCAATAACAACCACACTGTTTATCCACAACGTTGTATCTCCAAAATAATCTTATGCAATTTCAGCAGCCATAACTGGTACATAAGGACATGTTATTAAAGAAATGTAGAAGAAACAGCTTTCTAAAATTAAGCATCTATGAAAGCTCATTCTAATTCAAAAAAATCCTGAAAACTAAGTCTTAACTTGATCCTTGCCACAAATCAGCCTGAAAACTAAGTCTTAACTTGATCCTTGCCACAAATCAGCCTGAAAACTAAGTCTTAACTTGATCCTTGCCACAAATCAGCCTGAAAACTACATTTTAACTTGATCCTTTCCACAAATCAGCCTGAAAACTAAGTCTTAACTTGATCCTTACCACAAATCAGCCTGAAAACTAAGTCTTAACTTGATCCTTGCCACAAATCAGCCTGAAAACTAAGTCTTAACTTGATCCTTGCCACAAATCAGCCTGAAAACTAAGTCTAAACTTGATCCTTGCCACAAATCATCCTGAAAACTAAGTCTAAACTTGATCCTTGCCACAAATCATTCTGAAAACTGTCTTAACTTGATCCTTACCACAAATCAGCCTGTTTTGCAATTTATAATTATTCTAGAAGTGCAATAGTCTTTAAACATGTTATTATATATCCGGTTTCATAAGTGATCAAATCATGCGATCTTTCAAATTCCTGTTTAGATTTAAGTTGAAGTCGAAGATTATTTACAACTTAAACAACTTAATGGCTGAGTATTTCATATTGTACTACATCTAAAGTAGTGCCTGTCATTGCTACTGTATATTCTCATGTCTTCTGAGAGGTTATGATGTTTAAAAACAACTAAGTAAAAACTATTTGGTAAACCCTCAAAAACCAACAAACTGTAAGTAATTCTTAGATATTGGTGATGTCTTGAAACTTTAAATAAGACAATTAACCATTTGTTTTATGGTTATCAATGAAATTTAACACTTTCTCAGCAGTGCAGAACACATTTAAACAATTTATGTGATTAAAAGAAGAGACTGATGAAAGTTTAGGAAGAGAATAGCACAATACACTCGACTGGAGATAATGCATATTGCCTTAGAAGTTTTTAGATGACATTTGAAGCTGCTAGCAGATGCAACTCACAGATCTCTCCAATCAAGGAGTTGGGTGAAAGTTTCTAAAATATATATTTTTATTATAAACATTTAGAAAATCTGAATACTAGCCAAAGAAAAAAAAATTATCTGAACTTCATTTTGTTTAAGAACTGAACATGGTAAAATTTTCTATTTCTTTGTTAAGTAAATTACATTTGGCAAGCATGTTCTAAGAGTATTTCCAAGAGTTCTCCAAAAGGCCGACATTTATTTCGTACTGCTATACTTAAAGCTAAAATAATTGTGAATTTATTTTCATTTAATGTTGCAAACATTAATTTTTCAAGTAAAATCTTCAAAAATCATTCATACATGATCAAATCATGTGATCTTTCAAATTCCTGTTTAGATTTAAGTTGAAGTCTAAGATTATTTACAACTTAAACAACTTAATGGCTGAGTATTTCCTACTGTAGTACATCTAAAGTAGTGTTACTAGTAGACAGCCTACTTTTGAAATTAAACAGATTAACTGAAAACTAAACTCTTAAGGTCAATGTCAACTGTAGATAAACTCACTCAAAAACTTCACTTTTGCTGAACATTAACTTCAAGACTAAATTATTGATTAATAATACTACAACTTCTAATATTTCCCCATGTTTCTAGACTCAAATAACTTAAGAAAAATAGACAAAACTGAATATTTGATGCATTTCAGTTGACCCAGTGTTCATTTGGTACAGTAATGTTTTGTAAAACAGTAAATATGAAATTATGGAACTGCAATCAGTTGATTGATTTTACTTTAATTGCATATTTTGATTATCAAAAGCTAGACAAAAACAACAACAACAAGGTTTACTAAAACTAGTGCAATTATTAAACTCAATTTTCTAGCTACCATAAGTTAGCATCTCTAGATTTTTTTTAGTTGACTAGTTTTAATGATTAAGTTGTTAGTATCTAGAATATGTTATTATATTTGATTTAAACAGTAACTACACAGTATATTACAGAAAGCTTTACCTGGTCCTCAATAGCCTTGTGATCAGTTTCTTGCAGCCAGGACCCCAATATCACACTATCATCAGTGTGGCAAAGGCTTCGAAGCAACGATGTAGTAGTATTAGCTGGGTTTTCAGTCAGGGTAAACTCAGCCACCAAAAGCCTTAAAAGACTGGTGTAACTTCCTAGAAAGGAAGTTCATAAAATATATAACTACTTATGTATCTGAGAATTCTATACCCCCCCCCCCAAAAGGACATAGAACAAAAGTTATTCAGTATTAAAAGGAACCTTCTACCAACCTTCTTGTCTATGACTACAGTCTTATAAGACTTAGTTGGTGTTTTACACATTATTACTACCACCATGTTATGTTTTCATCCTGTGCGTGTTTGTCAGCAAGATTTCTCGAAAACAGCTGAATAGATTTTGATGAAAGTTGGTATGAGCTAAATTTGAAGCGATTAGTTTTTGGAAGGTCAAAGGTGAAGGTTACAGCAGGTTCATGAAAATAAAAAAAAACTATATATTAACATGGGGACTGACTTTTTTCACACCATTTTTGTTCTATAAATCAGTCAAAAATTATTGGATTTTGATGCAACTTGGTCAACATATGTAGAATATTATTCCTCTATGCCCTGCCATAAATGGTCAGTGTCCATTGATAACGAAGGACACAATAACACAGTTTCATATTTTTTGAGAGCCAAATGTGATCAATGCTGCATGGTGGAGGTACAAGCTATACTGAGTGTCCCTCTAGTGTTTTCTCTTGTTATGTTCAAGTCAATCTAAACACCTAAACATGTATTATATTACAAAAAATATACAACTTAAAACTAATCACTGTTAATCTTTTAGTCATAATAAAACAAAAGTTTTGAACATATATATATATATATATATATATATATATATATATATATATACACACGACAATAATTAATAATATATTATTACTTAACCTAACTACTAACTAACTACTACGTAGTACA